TAATCCATTATTATTAGAAACAAAATAAAGACCCAGTTACAAAAGCTATATATGTGGCAAAACATCATAATTTAATATGCAAACAGGCTTGTAGTGGAAAGTCGAGGCCATGAGCTCTTCATCAAACAAATGCATGATGTCCTGTGTCTCAGGTGGGTTGTTATCTTTTTAAAGGCCTTGTTACTCCTTGTCCACTAATTTCGGTTCTTTCAGGATGATCAAACATCTGTTGTGCAAGATGGCTGTCAAAGAAAGCAGCCATCATTCTTCGATTCTCAAGAACTGACATCAAATACTCAGTTTTCCTTCTGAGGTGTTTGATCTCTTCAGTTTTTATGCTAAAATGACTTCAAAACACTCCATATTGGTAACATGCCAAAGAGACAGCATGCCAGGTATTTCTAGGGTAGTTTTGCGTGTGAAAACGGGAATGGGAATAGTTCAAATCACCACGTTTTAGGAAAGAACTCTCAAAATGCTGCCCTAGACAAGATAAGCCCCTGACTAATATTCCCTCAAATATTTTAAATTTCTATGTTGCAATTACAAAAGCTACAGATTTACATAACTCGTCAATGACGCTAGATGTTTAGTCATTGTTTCTGGGAAACAAAAGCAGGATGAACATATCCTGGTACTCACAAACAATAAACAAGACAATAAATCATGTGGAGTTTCCAGATTTTTCTATTGGCTTCCTCTCTTTTCCAAGCATGCTGAAAGTATTTGGTGCAGCATGCTATTCCATCTGTAAGAGTTTTTACTTATTGTCTTATGAAATAACAATGTAAAAAATGCAGTAACACTGTCTGACTCATAGTTTACTGGAATAATTAGATCTTGCATGCACGCTGCAGATGGTCTCTGTGCTTTATTTGAGTCTTTTTTAGTAACTCTAGCAGCACGGCTCCGTGGAACATTTGTCCGCCTGTTGCTTGCGCACAGAAAATGAACCCACATGGAATTTTGAGCAAAGAGCCACGATACTCAGAGTATGGATGCCACCAATTTGACTGAGAGCTACCATCAGATTTGCTGAAGATATACAAAGCCCACAGAGGATGTATTTTTGTGCTAACAGCAGGTCAAGCTGTTCATAGATTGCATAAAATGTTTTGATGTCTGCCAGATTAGCGCAACATATTCACTATTCACACATGCTAACTCCTGCAGCTGCTGGTAGTCCCGTGACTACTCAACCTTCACCTTTTACTTTGGCAAACTGCCCGATGGATCCCAGAAAGCTGATTCTTTTCATTTGGACTTGGGAAAAGCATTTCATCACTCATCCAAGTGACTTCTTCAGCCTGACTGATCACTACAGATAGTCCTGATTTATGTGATAAACATGAATGAGTTTGGTAACTTTCATACAGTTAGATTTGTGTAACAGTTTCCTTCATTATTAAATTTCTGAAAATCTAAAGTTATCTTCTCATTATATCAAAGGAGCTTGCAAAGAAAAGCGTCTGGACTTCTTCAAGTTGCTTGAAGAAGTTTCACCTCTCATCCGAGAAGCTTCTTCTTCAGAAGTCCAGACGCTTTTCTTTGCAAGCTCCTTTGACTACGATGACCTGGATGACTCAGAACCTTCACAGATTTCTCATTATATCCTGATAATATGTGCTAATCATCAGTATATCACTGGCAAAATATTTGCGTTAGAATTCTGACGTTTTTCTCGGAATTCTTTTATCTCAGAATTCTGACTTTAGTTTCACATCAGCAACGCCAGAAAAATGTCTCAAAAATGTGAATGTGCATTTCAGGATAACAACGTAAAGTATTTATTCAACACTTTCTGCCATTCTAATCAATGAGTGACTGAACTAGCTGCTTTCTTCCACATGTAGTTTTGTGTGCCATTTGTAGTTTTTCCTGTTCTTGTAGAAATGCTTCTTCTTCAGAATGTAAGGAGATATGCTGTTGTCATCAAGTTCAGAACTGCAACCTCTGCACATACACTGCTTATGATTCCTATGGTACTAAAAAAAAAAAATCTTAAGTTTAGTATTGAAAGGCATTAGAAGTATTGTTTAAGGTGACGTCCCTCAATGGGAGTAAATGTGGGGTGAGTATCATAACTATTCAATTACTAAATAAGACACTTGCTAAATCACTTGTGGCCTATTATGATTATGTGAACACTTTTTTTGCTATTACTCACCTATATTAAAAGGTAAAAATTTGAATCTACAAACTGCTTAATAAATAATTATAATCCTCCACTTCATTTTGTAAATCTGTCTGATTAGTCACACATATGGATGGTGCTTTGCTTCTCATTAGTAATCCTACAATGATTTTCTGTCTCCATTCAGCAGTTTTTCTTCTGCTCTCATCCTAAACTGAGATGACTAAATTTAACATTTTTTTCTTTTCCTCACTTTCATTTAAAAAAAAAAATTGTGCTTCAGTAGTCTTTTACTGCTCTGAGATCCAGACTAATTTGCTGCTAAAGATGGATGTAAAAAAAAAAAAATCACGTCTTTGCCAGTGCGTGCCTTTCTACAGCGGCTGAGATTTTTAAATGAAGAGCATGAGTATGCAAGGCTTTTATCAATTTGATGAAAAGAATGTGAGTGTGTCTGTGTGCGTTTGTGCTTACACACACAGCTGTGACTCTGCACAGAGTTTATGCATCAGGCATCTGGAGTGAACTATGAAGAAAGTCCAGAAGACAGAGCATTATCATTCCCAATGCGTAACGCACCGATGATTTGTCACGACCCTAGGCGCAATAATAACGCAAAGGGTACTCTTCCATGTCCTTATAAAACCCTCTGGCTTCTCAATTGAATCCAAAAGATAGGCGTTCACGGTGATAACACACTCCCAGAGCAGAGGCTCCAGTCGTCCACTCCAACCTCAACCCTAACCTTAACCCTATCACGTAGTGTTTTCCAAAGCGATTCAGGATCTGTACATAAAACACATTTAGAGATTCATTCCAACCGGCTCTCATGCTGCCGAATGTGCAACGCACTGACGATTTTGTGACATTGGTCGGTGTGTTACGCGTTCTGATGAGAACGTGTTGCAGAACAGGGCGCTTTGTTCAACCTGGTTGGAGGGCAAAAGTGTTTACAGGTCCACGCTACACTCAAAGACACAGTGAGAAGCCACTGTCATAGTGGGGGGTGAGTAATAGTTTCACACACATTTTCAAACAAGACTGGGAAAAGGGTTCCTTTTTTGAAATATCACAGTAAAAGGTAAGTCCTAGAAGGAAGATTCATGTGAGACATGAGAGTGGAAGTAACATGTGTTACAGTAAGTGCATGACAGTTGTGTAAGATGGGAAAAAGAAAGATTTAGGAGGAAAATAAAACGAAACAGAGTTTTCGAAGCTTTTCTGATAAATGGTGAAGTGGCCTTTAACCTCGAGTTTACCCGTGCGAGGGCTGACATTCATCTGTTTCCTCGTGACTTATCCTTTTGCTGTAGATAGCGCTGTCGCACGTGGACACGGATGTCAACATGTCCGCTTAAACATGTCAGTGAAACGCAGCTTGTGAAATACGACCCTGTCAAACGTCTCCAAATTTAGCACCGTTGAAACAAGGGGTGTTTTTTTAAGAAGGCAGAAGGCTTTGGTCGGGGCGTAGAGGGAGGCTTTGTTCTGTGAAGTGCCAGTCTCTGGGGAGACATTAAGCCAGAACCTAATCATGAGTTCAAACAACAAAAGCATTTTTTCTGCAGTTAATTGGAACCAGTTTAAACGACAGACAGGCGGTACGTCTCGGAGAAATCTCAGGGGAAATCTGACGAATGAGCTGATAGATGAGCTGATAAGTGTCCTTGTCTAGTTTTGATTGAAATCCGGTTCTGGTGTTGATGGTAGGTGGCGCAACGTGCTGGAGGAATTTCAAAGGGTTATTTCAGCTATGCGTGGCTGAACCACAACAGAACAAAGGTCAGTACTCTTCTGCCGACCTCTGCCTTGTCCTCCTACCTCTTTCTCTTCACCACCTTTTCTTACTTTTTTTTCATTGTCACCTTTTTCCCACTTCTACGTAGTTTGAAAAAGGGTTGGAGGAGCATAGAAATAGGATAAAGAAAGGGAAAAAAGAAGTTGCAGCATCCCGTGTCAAATGTCAAAAAACAAAAGCCCTGATTTCTGTTTCCTGTCGGCAGATTTACTCGGTCTGGGTTGCAGAGGTGGATGGCCGCAGGCAACGAGCTGGTTGTTATTATCTTTGCTTGTTTAGGTTTTGCTCGTGTGACCCCCCTCCCCCGCTGAACTGTGCAGGCAGAAAAGAGAGGTGGATAAAATAGATGGTGGAAGGGGGGAGGGGTTGGTGAGGTAAATAGAAATGAAGAGGGAGTGAAGACAGAAAAAAAAGTTATTAAAACAAAAGTATTGTAGCAGATGGGAGCATGGGTTTACCTTGGAAACAGCATTACAGCAGAGGAACCGGGGGAGGCAGAGCCAAGCTGGAGTTTATCACAATCTTTGGAGAGTGATGAACCAGGGGAGGAAGGGGGGGGAGGTGGCACACTCCCAGCACAGTGAGGGGTGGAAGAGATATAAAAGGGCTCCCAGGGAGAAAGAGTGGTCAGGCAAGTGTGTGAGCTGCTGTCCTGCTTGTTTCCACACTGCTGCACACCACTGTTTCCGCGTGCCGTCTCCACCACAAAGGAATAAACTTTTGCAGTTATTTGTGCCAGAGGATAAAAGGAAGTAACGACTAACTGGAAGAGGGGAGTTGATGAGTTTCTGAAACCTGGCACTTCTCAAGTCTGGAAGTTTGATTTTTTTTTTCTCTTTCGGTTGAGTTGTTTACTCATCGCCCTCTGAGAACCTCCACAGCAGAGAGTCAAGAGGTGACTCTTGAACTGCGTGCAGAGGAATTTAAACAGAAGCTGAGATTTTCATCCACCCTCCGCAGTGACTGTTCGAAGTGTCACTTTTGTGCCCTTGTGTTCCTTTTCTGATCAGCCTTTGGAGTCACAATGAATGCCTCATTTTTATATGACTACAATCAGTCCTTAGTGGATCGGGAATTTTACTGGGAGGGAAATCTAGATGGTTTCGGCATCACGATGGCCTTTCTCTACCTGGTGGTTTGGGTCATGGGGCTAGCTGGAAACGCACTCGTTATCGTCGCCATTTTAAAGTTTGACAAGCTGTCCTCTTCAACCACAGTGTACATTTTCAACCTTGCGCTGGCCGATGGACTATTCATGGTTGGTCTTCCCTTTATAGCGAGTCAGAATTTCATGAACCGCTGGATTTTTGGAGATGTGGCGTGCAAAGCTGTCATGGTGCTGGACGGCATCAATCAGTTCACCAGCGTCTTCTGCCTGACGGTGATGAGCATCGACCGCTACATGGCGCTGGTGGAGCCACTTCGCTTTGCCCGTTGGAGGACCCCACGCTGTGCCAAGATTGTTTCATCCCTCCTCTGGCTGTTCTCCCTCCTCACCATCCTCCCGATGGCGCTTCACTTCTCGACCGATCATGGCTTTTGTACGCCGGATCTCGGCTCCGACGCCCGGTGGCTTGGCGTCCTCTCTTACACCTTTATTTTGGGTTTCGCTTTACCATTTACAGTTATGACAGGTTTCTACGTGGCAATGCTGCTCGCCTTGTGGGGTCAGAAACTCCGAACCTCAGCGGTGACCCTGGAGAGCCAGCAGCTGGAGCAACAGGTCACCAAAATGGTGGTCGCGGTGGTGGTTGTGTTTGGTTTGTGCTGGCTGCCGTTTTACACCTTCAACTTCTGTTCTCCATACCAAAACAGCTACGCCGTGACCTTCTACAGGGCTTTCGAGTTTGTGGTCCTGCTTTCCTACTCATGGAGCTGCGCGAACCCCATCCTCTACGCCTGCCTCTCTGACACCTTCAGGAGGCACTTCCGCACCCTACTCTGCCCCATCACCAAGTCTTCTTCCAGCATGCAGTGCATCACTGACCAGCAGAACCTAAATGACACAGTTGTGTGTGATGGCACCAGTACCCCATAAAGCCAAACGAATACTGGCTGCATTTTAATTCCCTTCCTATTATGATGCACTGCACGGTACTTTTGGACTTCTTTCTTTTTAGTTACTCCAATAATGCATTGCAGGTACCTACAATGACTTAGGAAATCACTGTATGTGCAGCCACTATATTCTTTGTTTATTTCCACAATTGTTTGCCTAATCCGAGTTAAACTTGGCTGGCTTTCTGCTGACAACCCGAGTAAGTGAAGTGCTGACTTTCAGATCATTTGGATGAGCGATTCTCATATTTTGACTAAAAGTTGTTCTCTGCTACCAGTGTTTGCACTAGACGGACTGCTGACTGCTCCACTCTGTGTGTAGGGGGGATAGGCATACATACATACACAGATATGTTAATCGCTTTTCTTTGAGTGGGCATTCATTGACATTAATGCATTAATGCAGCTACCCTGGGCTGAACTAATCTCTAACTGTAACAACTGTAACCCTGAAACAGCTTTAACCCAGTCATCCAAACTGTTAAAATTCTTCCAACATTCCATTAAGCTGATGGCCCAAAACTCAAAAGTTAGTCGTCACAAGGACAACTGGACAAGTTTCACTGTAGTTTTCTCGTCTTTGGTTTTCTGTGACAAATTTGGATGTGCTGTAACAACCCATTTTGCCCATTCTGGACAGCCAAGTTTGAACTGGAGCAATCACAGACACGTGCAGAGAGTGTATCTTTATAATAGCATCACTTTGTTGGAAAACAAGAGCTTTATGACTGCCTACATCTGACGCATTTATGTAAATTGCAGCTACAAAAAATACACCGGGTTTACACTTTTCACAAACATGGCCTAGCTTGGCAAATTTCCCTTTTTTATTTTTTTGTTCAATCTTCTCCACTTGAAATGTACATTTTATGCTCAAGCTTGTAGCCTTGGGTGTGTGGATTTGATGCCTTTCTGACTGTGCATTGAGCTGCGACTTTAAAGGGTTAATTCTATTCACCACTATATCAAATGCAGGCTTAAACACTTCTTAAAAAGCATAAAGATAAAACAGAAAACACCAGACACTGTCACTAAATGTGAGTAGATGATTTCCATACCACTCTCTTGGTTTAAATATCACGTGTCTGTCTGACTCAGACCTGTTGTATAATTTGTCAGCCGAGAGCTCAGAAAATTCAGACGAAATGCTCTAATGCACATCCTGCTATAGCGCTTTTCAGCAGAGCTAATAAAATGTAGCACAACAGGGATGAAGTGTGGACAGGTGGAGTGTAAACAGAATAACACGGGTCACATGCTTTTGACAGCACCAACTCATACACGCACGTACACACTCAGCAAATAGCATCTCCACATCTCCCACAGCTGGATTATGTCCCAGTGGCTGTGCATGCAGGAAGGCATCGGATGAATGTATTTCTACTCGGCTGGCCACGAGCACGCACTTGCATTTTTGTGTGCAAGCACCTATGTTATTCTGTTTAATGGTGACATACAAAAAGACACCCTTAACTAGGTGAAAGATGCATAAATCACTACATAAAGTCAACATTACGCCTGTGTGGAATATGAAAACTTCCAATGTTTGTTCTGTGTTTTGTCATTCTGGAAATGTATGCTTTACCCCGCTCCTGGGTGGAAACCTGGAACCTCCAGAGTTTCTTCATCTCAGTCTGAATTATGATGTAATCCAAAAACAGGATTTTTTAAACCAGCATAATCTATCAATCCCAATCAATCCTGCAAATGCATACACATGAAAACAGGGGATTTTCTTTGAACACCAGTGATATTTCCTGATTGCTTCTTTCACTCAGTAATTCTTTGATTAACCACACACCCCCTCCCTTTACCTCTCTTTCACTTTGACCGCTTTTAAACTTCATGCGTCTTTAAACGTTCATTTTTTTGACAGCTATTCTTAACATTAACCTCCACCAGCTGTGACACACTGAGACATTGCTTACATGTGTTACCCCGGCACTCGAGTGCAGGAATCCAGCACGGCCGTGTCATCAGAGCGGTTAGATTAGAGCGGCCACCAACACACCGCAGAAAGATTCAAATCAGCTCACGAAAGGCTGAGGAGATTTCAAGCCGTTCAGCTGCTAACTGTCTCCCTACATCTTTCCATAAGCACTCCCGCTGGGCAATCCCAAGAATACTTAGTGAAATGCATTTTATGAGTTAACAAAAACACATGTTAACAACAATAACGCCTCTTGCTCACAGTGCTTTCCCCCCCCTCTTTTACTTCAACTTTAACCAGAAAACATGAAAACACAAATTGTGGAAGATACACAGAAGGAGCCAACCACTTCATTCTTAGAAGCAGCATTTTTGCACATATAAAGAAAGAGACATTTTAAAATCATCAATGATACAGTATGTATGAATGAGATTAATATGTCAGTCACACCACACGAAAATCACACATTCTGTTTCTGATGTTTTATAAATGAATAAATTATATGAATAAAAAAAATTAGCCTGAAACTTTCTTGATTCTAAGCTTATTTCAGTCTCTGTATCTTAACTATATTTATGTGCCAAGAAAATAATCACCACCAAGTTTTGTTACATTTTTCTGTAACGATCATCTTACCAGTTAATGTAACCATTTTTCAAACCCCGCCGAGGTTTGATTTTAAAAGCAGCATTAATCTTTTTCCAAACACTTCCGAAAACACCATCTCTGCCTCATCCATCTCCTCTAAGGTGAAGCAAACTGAGCGTCTTGACTTGACCGTCTGCTCCGAAACCATCCCTCGAAGGGCATCCTGTAAATGTCAGGCCTGCTTGTTGAGACCCACTTGTATCTGCCGGCTTAGTTTTAAGAACTAATGAACCTCTGCCAAAATGTTTGAAATGCTGAAGGCAAAGAAAGACTTGACCAGCAGTGGTGTGTCAGAGTTGGCCTAAAGGCATAAAACAGTCCTCAATTAGTTTGGTGGCATGGCTACCGTAAATGTGTATATATATATATATATATATATATATATATATATATACATATATACACATATATATATATATATAGATAGATAGATAGATAGAGAGAGAGAGAGAGAGAGAGAGAGAGAGAGAGAGAGAGAGAGAGAGAGAGAGAGAGAGAGAATGTTTTAATGCAATACTATAAACAGCTGATGGCTTTTTTGTTCTGAAATGGATGTTTTGTTGTCTAAATAAAATATTCAGATGTGCTAACATGATTTCTAGCATAGTCAATAAATAGGTCAATAAATAAAGAATATTTTTCTCCTGTCAATTTTGTCTGTCAACATTGTTAAATATAGAAAAAGTTCTAAATAAACGAGACATCTGTTTCTTGTGGATTGTATCCTTTAGGGTTGCTGGATGGGAAAGTAGCTGCAGGTTGGCCCTGAGGAGGTCACTGAGAGATCGGTTATATGAGTCACTGAACACCAAGGCAGGAGTGGGTTGGGGTGGTGGAGTTCATGAAGGGGAAAAGTTTGCACTACACATTTCTGTAACACAAACAGTCACACAGCTGACCATGTAGACTGAGTTACAGTTCTTTCAAGTAACCACTAGATGCTGGCACTTCATCTAATGTAAGATGAACTTTTTTGATAGGAATTCAATCCTGTCTCTCAATAAATCAAAATATAAACTTTTATACATAAGATGACAATAAGGCAGTTAAAAAACACTGCTTATGGAATAATAATAATTAAAATAATGGTCATATAAAAGAGCATTATAGCTTTTCTGCATTACTCTAGAAGGTGGAATGCTAAGTCATGAACTGGAGCTGGCAAGTTTGGCTAACAAGCTGCTTCCATAAACTGTATGAACACTCAGGCTAATTTAGCGCTAAGAAACTAATAATATATTTTAACTTGCCAAAACCGAAGTAAAAACACAGCAAGCTTTGATATTACTCAAATAATTTCACAAAAGCTTCTAATCACACAAACATTGTTTCTTTTCCTTTGTGTCTCTGAATGAATTTCCTGTTTCTGCACCGCCTATGTCACCATCTTTGTTCCACTCTTCTCCATGTGGCTCTTGGGTTTTTATTTCCCTCGTTCTTTTTCCTGATCTTTTTAATGTCTGCTTCCTTTTCCACTGGGTCATTTTGTGATTGTTTCCTAAAAATGTTACAAAAACCTCCTTATGCCAGCATTAAGTTTTCTACGTCAGTGAGTACATTTCATCATCCTGCAGTATAGGCAAGGCTCCATGTGGGTATCTGTGTATCCTCCAGTTTGTGCTCACCAGGAAGACTTTTAAGCTCACCCACAATTTTCCAGAGGTTTCCATTTAACCTGCTTCCTACGACCAGATAACAAAGTACTATGATGTGAATAACTGTGCCCACAGTCTCCTTGCACCTGTAATGGGAATATAATCCCAGCCTTATATATATATATATATATATATATATATATATATATATATATATATATATATATATATATATATATATACATATATATATACAATATACAGTATGTTTTGCTGCAGTAGCAAAGCAACTTTTAGGCAAAGCTTCATCTTTTTGTGACTTCGCCAAACGTTGGTTAAGAAAGACAAAAAAAGCAACCTGAAAATGGTTTCCTCTCTAACAACACAGCATGATATGCTATCTTTTTATTTTATTCTCATTTTTTATATTCTTATAAAGTTCAGCTGTGCCAGAAATATCTCCCTCTGGTCAACCTGTTATTGTGAAAGCTGTCATGGCTCCAAATTGCAGAGAAAATCACTAAATTTGCTGCAGATGGTGAAAAAAAGGAAGCACTTTGTGACATGGATTTTGAGAATTATTATTAACATTATTATTGTTGTTGTTGTTAATAATAATTTGTTTGTTTGTTTATTAAGATTATGTTAAATTTGAAAATCACTGCCTTACCTTGGAACACACAATAATAACCAGTACTCACTGGTGTTCACTGTAAGACTCAAAATGTGAAACCTGGGTCCTAGACCCAGAACCATGACGCCGTCTAAAAAAACTTTTTTAGCAATTATCAATATTTTATATGGGAACAGCTTCTGTTATGTTAATTGTTTAAAATGATAGTTGGATAGTGTGTTGCTATGAATTACTGGACCGCATTGTTTTTCTGTATCCAATCGTAAAGGTAAAGATGATAAAGGAAGCACTTGATGCACCTTTCCTTGGTATTTACAGAATTCAAACAGCTCTTATACTGGTTGCCATAGAGATCCTTCTGGGTCAGTTCACTTACTTTGGAGCATCCCTGCCCAAACGTGACTATTTGACTGCACTCATGACCCTCCGGCTCTCAAACATCCTGCTTCAGTCTCAGGAGTGCAACAGAAGGTAGCCTTCCCAGTCAAGTCAGAGTCTGGTTCATATATACAAGCTGACATCTCCAGGTGCTGCCCTTACACCAAGTAAAGATACGACATAAGGAAATTTACCAGGTAGTAGTCTGATTGGCTGGCAGTGAACCCGGTGGCATTCTTCCAGCCAGTTGGAGCAGTTGGCCATGAATAATGCAGACTCAGTGTAAACAGCCTGCTAAAGAACAGAGGGGAATCTGGACTATAACAGAAGATGTATATGGGGAAACCAACACATCCATCCGTTATGTTGGAACTCTAAAATATGACTAATTAACATGCTAAATCTTGAATATGAAACCAAGCACTCGCTCACAGCCAGTAACAGCCTGGCCCACAGCAGCCTATACAATGGCAGCTGACACAGAAAACAAG